GCAGGAATGGACAGAGTGTGCCTAGAAGCTACTACTTAAGCAAGAAGCTTCCCCTTAAAAATACTGCAAGACAGCCATTTAAAACTCTAAGCAGCTTTCTACGTAACTAATCAAATGCACAGGCAGTTCACAGCTCTTTACGTGGCAGGAAGAGGTAACGATAGCTCTGTACCATTAAAAAGTAGTAATTCCAGGCCAATATTTAAGCTGGAACACAGTGGAGGTGTGCTGCAGCGGCACCATGTTCCCCCTTGAGCTGCTCCCCCCAACTCACCAGTACTGGGATGCAGCCTTCTGCGGGAGCACGCTGAATATTGCAGCGGGGATAAAGAGAGGAACGAAATTCCTGGTGTCTCTGGAGCCATGGTGCCTCTCTTCAAACACCGAGCATCTCACATACACCCAGTATAACCATTGCCAAGGGAAGCTGAGCTGCTCCAAAACAGCATCATCCCTGGCTGAATGGGGACAGGTCAATTCTTCACCCAGCCGACAACCGCAGCGCTTGGGGCTTGCGGCTCAAGCTGTGCCCCCCCATTAGATCACAGATAGCATTCGTGCCATCACAGCAGCCTGAAAAAAATTAGGAGTAACTGCTGCAACCCGTAACTGGTTCACCTGTGGCTACAAGGGCATCTGATCTTCCAGCACGCTGGTGGTACTGGAGAAATTCTTCACAGAAAAATGGTCTTCCAAAAGGCAAAAGGGGTCATAACTGGGGGTAGGCTTGGAGAGCTCCAGAGAAGACACCACACGAGGAAAAAGCAGCACCCAGAGTGGAAATAACGTTGAACACCGAGTAATTTGGATAATGAAGAAGTTCCTGCCCAGGTGGATCGTGTCCTTTCGTCCCGCTCTGTAGCAGCTCCAGCACTCTGCTAAACCCCATCTGAGAACAAGCGTTACCTGCTGGTGCGAAGAGCTGCTGACCGGCCCGTTCATCTGCTCGTAGTATCGTCGTTCAGCATCGTCGTACTTGTATTTGTCAAACCAGATCTTCTCATGCGTAAAGAAGTTGACTGCCATTTTTCTGCAGAAAGGAATGAGGAAAAAAAAAACACCCAAAGTGAGTGCCAAGAAATACTTCAGGTTAGCAGCTTGCAATGAGCTTGCCAGAAGAGTGTTTTCTTCCCCCCCCCAGAGCTGTGCCTGCAGCTCTTTGCTCGATGGTTTCCCCTCCAGTGGAAAGCTTTAAGTAAACAGGATCCTATTAAGAAAGCAGGCCAGTCTAATCACCCACCCGTCTGCCTGACCCGCATTTAGTGACAGGGTACCAAGCAGGGACAGAATAAATCAGCTGATCTGTACCTCCTTCCACAAAACAAATAGCTTCCAGAGCAGGATCTTCTAGACCGTGGGAATCTGCTGCTAAGGAAGAGATCTTGTGTACGAGAATCAAAAAGGGAACGATGCCTTTAATTCTTAAAGCCACCCGGCCGCGGCGAAACCAAAGAGGGACGAATATGGAGCTCCAAGCAGCCCATGCCACAGTACAGCGTGCCAACGAAGGGAGCACTCGCTGTGCGAGAACTCCTGACACTCCAGCTCACAGATTTAAACACATTTCAGACTGCCCTGGTTGTCAAGAAGGCCAACGGGATCCTGTGGTGCATCAAGAGGAGTGTGGCCAGCAGGTCGAGGGAGGTTCTCCTCCCCCTCTACTCTGCCCTAGTGAGGCCCCATCTGCAGTGCTGTGTCCAGTTCTGGGCTCCCCAGTTCAAGTAAGATGAGGAGCTACTGGAGAGAGTCCAGCGGAGGGCTACAAGGATGATGAGGGGATTGGAGCATCTCTCCTATGAGGAAAGGCTGAGGGAGCTGGGCTTGTTCAGCCTGAAGAAGAGAAGGTTAAGAAGGAACCTTATAAATGGTTATAAATATCTGCAGGGTGGGTGTCAGGAGGATGGGGGCAGACCCTTTCCAGTGGTGCCCAGCAACAGGACAAGGGGCAACGGGCACAAACTGAAGCAGAGGAAGTTCCACCTGAACATGAGGAAGAACTTCATTCCTCTGAGGGTGATGGAGCCCTGGCCCAGGTTGCCCAGGGAGGTTGTGGAGTCTCCTTCTCTGGAGATAGTCAAGACCCACCTGGACGTGGTCCTGTGCAGCCTGCTGTAGGTGACCCTGCTTCGGCAGGGGGTTGGACTGGGTGACCCACAGAGGTCCCTTCCAACCCCTACCACTCTGTGATTGTGTGAACACGACTCAACAGCAGCTGTTGGGCTAGCACACGTCTCTACCCAGTCATGCCACGCTTCACATGGCGCGCCACCGAATCCTGCTGTAAGGAACCTGACAGCGACCGGCCTCTGAAAATCCAGATACGCAATTTACAGCATCACCACAGGTAACAGAAGCCGCTGCAACCGTTTAGAAATTAAAATCATCAGCAACGCGACACTTGCAAGGGACAGACACCTGTACGAGGACGAACAGCACAAAACATCCTCACGCTGCTGTGAAATAGTGCTGTTTTTCTTCAGCACAGCAAGCTTCCAAAGGTTGTTTGACTTCTTGAAGGCAAATAACAGAGCCCTTGCAACACTAAGAGCAGAGGATGTGCCCGTATTTTGAGCCAAGCAACAGCTACAGAGCCAACGTCAGTTTGAGGAGGGACAGAGCATCACAAGGAAACTGCACCGCTACCAGGTTCCACCACGCAACGCGGAGAGAGCGACTAACAGCAACCCGCAAACCCTCTCCGTATCAGCTCAAGACCCCACAAGCTTTCCAGTAAAACACTTCCACGGAAGCCAACGGATGAGTTTTTTCACAAAACAAGCAACCCTTCTCATCTACCCATTCAGCAGGGACCAGTAGCCACCGTACTATACAGGTCCTCCACACCGAAGCCATTCCCAGCACTCAGACCTCCAAGACCCGGCTTGAGCTGCCAACCAGTATTATTAATAGAGAATCCCAGTTACAAACTTCTACCGCATATTTTACAATGGGGAAGGGTGAAAGGTGTGACCAAATATCCAGTTCTGTCCAACTAAAGAGAAAATTATGCCAAACAGGAGAGGGTGACAGGCACGCACGCTCCCAAGCTTGCCCGCAGCCCCCTACATCACTCCATCCATGTAAAGATCTTAAAACCTTTCCAAATCCTAACAAACACCAGGATCAGAAGTGTCAGAAATAAGGAGTGATGCTCCAAGATGAACATCACTCTTGACCTTAGCGCTATGAAATAACATCTAAGCACCTGCCTTCAGACAGGCTCACAGGGAGTCACAGCCCTCCGTTCAGCCGGTCGTATCTAAAAGCACATATTTAACCCAGAAAGCATGGTATCATACCTCACCTCATTCAGGACTTTAAAAGGAAGTCTTGCAGTATTTCTGTCTGTAAACTGATTTTATACCTGCAAGTTACAACCACGACGGTCATCTACAACTCGAGAAGGAGCTCCTCCTGCCCAGCGACATACGCGCACATCGAACGAGCTGTCACCCGGTAGCCTTGTCCCAAAATTAACAGCAGCTTCCAGACCCAACAGTCTAACCTTCTCCCTCCACGAAACAAATACAGCAACATGCTCCCACCAGACCGATGCCCTAAATCGCGTTGCGCCGTCAGCCTTCTTCCGGCTGGATACCGGCAGCGATGCTCGGACGCAGTCACCTCTCGCACGGAGCTCCACGACCACGTGCTCTGCAGGAGAATGGGGGGAAACCGCTTCTCGGCAAGACCTCGTGGGATTTGAACAAAAAAATCACACAGCAAATAACCACCAATTTCACATCACAAAGATGAAACGCTGCGTCTTCTGCCGTCTCAGCAGACCTGTTTAAAACACGCGACTGCTCCCTCTGACTCCTCACTTTTATGGCTTTTTGTACGTAAAAGCAGCACAGAAAGGGGCACAGCTCACTTCCCAGCCCTGACTTTAAAACGCTTGCTCTGGGTTTGCGTGGCAAGGTTTTGGCAGCAGGGGGGCTACAGGGGTGGCTTCTGTGAGAAGCTGCGAGAAGCTTCCCCTATGTTTGATAAAGCCAGTGCCAGCTGGCTCTAAGACGGACCTTCTGCTTGCCAAGGCCAAGCCAATCAGCAATGGTGGGAGCACCTCTATGACAACATATTTAATAAAGGAATGAACAAAAAAACCTCTGGGTGAGACGGCAGTTAGAGCAAGGAGTGAGATTATGCGAGAGAAACCACTCTGCAGACACCAAGGTCAGGGAAGAAGGAGGGGTGAGGAGATGCTGAAGATGTCGGAGCAGAGAGCCTTCCATTGCAACTCGTGATGAAGACCATGGTGAGGCAGGTTGTCCCCCTGCAGCCCATGGAGGTCCACAGTGGAGCAGATCTCCACCCGTAGCCCGTGGAAGGGACCCACACCGGAGCAGGTGGATGCCTGAAGGAAGCTGTGACTCCAGGGGGAGCTCCATGGGGAGCCCGTGCTGGAGCAGGCTCCTGCCAGGACCTGCGGACCCATGGGGAGGAGCCCAGGCCAGAGCAGGTTTGCTGGCAGGGCTTGTGACCCCATAGAAGGAACCCACGCTGGAGCAGCCTGTTCCTGAAGGACTGCACCCCGTGGGAAGGACCCACGCCAGGGCAGTTCGTGAAGAGCTGCAGCCCGTGGGAAGGACTCGCGTCAGAGAAGTTTGTGGAGAACTGTCCCCCATGAGAGGGACCTTCATGCTGGAGTGGGGAAGAGTATGAGGAGTCCTCCCCTGAAGAGGAAGGAGCAGCAGAGACAACATGTGATGAACTGAGCAGAACCCCCATTCCCCATCCCCCTGCACTGCTCAGGGCAGGAGAAGGGAGAGAAACGGGATTGAAGCTGAGCCCGGGAAGACGGGAGGGGTGGGGGAAAGGTGTTTTAAGATCTGGATTTATTTTCTCATTATCCTCTGATTTGATTGGTGATGAATTATACTCCCTTTTCTCCCCAGGTTCAGCCAGTTTTGTCCGTGATGGTAATCGGTGAGTGATCTCTCCCTTGTCCTTATCTCGACTCTCGAGCCTTCCATCATATTTCCTCTCCCCTGTCCAGTTGAGGAGGGGGAGTGACAGAGCTGTTCTGGTGGGCACCTGGCATTTTATCCAGGCCAAACCAAAACAACACTTAACCTCTGGCACCACACAAATACTACCTTTGGTCAGGAGAAAGAGTTTCCCCCCCATTTACCCCAGCCCACGAACTCAAAACTGGCTCAGGAGCAGCGTCTCCCTACAGACACCAAGGCCACCCGTCTTCCACACGGGACAAATTCTTTCAGCTCAGTCCTGACCCAGTGGTTTTGCCTGTGCGAGTGTTACCCCAGAATAAACTTCTCCTACTTCGTTTCTGGCGCAGGCACGCTCGAAGCATAAGCAGCTGGTTGGGAGGGTTTTACTGCTGCGGATTCCTGCATCCCTGTACTCTCTCTTGACATCTTCAGAGCCTCGGCTGCGTAGTATCGTGACTCGGCACGGTCATACGTCGGCTTATTAAGCCACACAGTTTCGCTGTCCTCATGCAGAAAATAGCAGGTAGGCGGAGGTTGCTCAGCAGCGCTGGGAAGCGGAGAGTCGGCGGCGATCACGCGCTCGACGTCCGCTTGCTTTCCAACGTTGTGGTCCTTCCCTTCCTCGCGGTCCTTCTCCACCGCTTCGGGGCAGCCGCGTTGCTGCTGTCCGACTTTGCCCGACGGATGACCATCGAACATATTCTCATAGAAGCTCTTCTCGGCATCATCGTAGAGAGGTTTCTCTAACCACACCTCCGACATGAGAGCTTGCAAGCTTGAAATCTGCGGCTTACCATTTACCGTCTGGTCTACAGAGCCAGGCAAGCCGGCAACGAAGGAAGAAGCAGATTCAGCAACCACGTCTGGAGCTAAGCTTGGCGTAGCAGGAGTGGGCAGGGCTGTAACGTAGCCCTCATCCGGCGTTCTCAGCCCAACGTTGACAGCGTTCGACGGGATGGTTAGGACATTTGGAGGAATAAAGAACTGAGATCTTTCAACAAACCTCTCCTCGGCCTTATCAAAGTCAAACTTGTTGACCCAGACACCCTCAACGACGTGGTGACATGCAGACAGGTTGCCATGGGAGCAGGGCAGGGCTGCTGAAAGCACCCTTGGCTTAGGGACATCTCGGACAGCTTTGGACCTGGCCACTAACGGGGACTGCTCAGCAGTTAGCTCGGTCTCAGGCGTCTCCTCGTTCTGACAATCCGCTATTTTTTTCCTGTACATGTTCTCCGCGTGATCGTAGAACGGCTTGTCGAACCACACGCGGTCAGCTAACAAACCGGTCAGAACGGAGTCCAACTTGGAGGCCACACTTCGGGGTTTCGGAGAACGCTTCCGTTTCCTCTGTTTCTTTCCGTTCCTTGCTCTCTTCAGCTCTCCCTTGAATTCACTTTCCGCAGAGTCGTCATTGCAGACCCCGTTTACGGCCTCCACCTCCCGGCACTCGTCGGGGGCCGCAGCGGCTAGCGTCGCTTCTCGTTCGTAATGCAGCCTCTCTGCTTCATCGTACTTGTGCTTGTCTACCCACACTTTCTCTACAGGGCAGGGAGGCTTCCTCGTCCTCATCTTCCAAAGAGTGGCAGCGTTAAAAGATAAGCACAACAATTGTAGTTGCAGCAAAACTAAATCAAGCAAGGGCATGCATCAGACTTGAGAGATTTCAGTAATACAAGAGTGTCAAAAGCTATCACCGTGCCATTATTATTCATGGTAAAGAGCCTAAGCATTTAGCTGGATTTTTCCTTTATTATTAATTTCAATTCAAAGAAATTAAATTGCCTAAACATGTCCAGTTTCCGAAGCCAAAACAAGCTTCCTCCTAAAATACTTTTGCTGTTCTGACAAGCACTCTGCACATTACTATTTAATAATAAAATTTAAATTTAATACTTAAAAATTCACTTTTGGAGACAACTGGCATGGAAAAAAAACCAATGAGGTTTGGTTTAAATCCTCAGTAATGTAGAAGATATTTTTCCAAGCGATTAACCCTTAATTACTTGTTAGGTATTTCCAGCTAGGCACTGATTTGGGAAGGCAGGCCAAAAAAAAGGAAAGGTGCCCTAATTCTGGAGTGTATTTAGAGGTCACTGCTTACACTTGCATTTGTGTTTTGCCACCAGGAAGCCAGCAGAGGGAGCTGACTGAAAAGCTATGACTCCATTTTAATTTAAAACCCCACTTACTGGCAAATTAAAATCGACCAAGAGCTGGAGATCTCATGATTAATTTTGCTTAACAAAAAATCTCCTACCGAAATGAAAAATACTTCGTGTTTTCCTGCCCTACTCCTACCTTACTAGGAAAAAAATCAAGCAGTTTCAAGTATGTGTAGATAGGAAATGATACAAAAATACCTTTCCAAGGACAGAATTTATTGTACTGCTCAAATATCTAAGGAGTAGGTAACTACCCCTCTGCCAAACACTACGTGGAGTTAAAAAAAAAAAGGGGTCTGAAATGAAGTACTTGTAAGCCAGCTCTCCCTTTTAGCTACCTACAGCTGCAGGTTTTACAGCTAGAAATTTATCTGCAACAGGCTGCCAAATAAAATTCACATACAGCTGAAATACCCTCCAGACTTGGGCTGATGGCTTGCAGCTCCGACCATTCCCAGAAGATTTTATAAGCCTGAAGCTCAGCGCTTGATAGACCAGTAAAAAAAATAAACTATTCTAAGTAAACACTTCTGCCTTTTTAAATTTTCAATTTAAATTTAGAGTTTAAAATAGTGAAGCAATGTAATACTATATTTCAATTACAACAATTACTAGGAGAAGCAGATCTTTCTTTTTCTGACTCAAGTTGCGAAACTGCTCCTCCGCCAGCTGGAAACACTATGATACAGCTAAAACCATTTAAAAATATCTAAACTGAAACTTATTTTGAAGCCTTTGCTTTACTTTACACTCTTCTCTTGCATTTTACACTAGTTATAGAGCAGGGAAACGCTTCCTACTATAGAAAACTAGAAATCAAGCAGTGCTTTCAATAAACATTATTTGTTACCATCAACATCAAAAGCACCCCAGCTGGCAGCAAACATTGCAAGGTAGGAGCAGTGCTATGAGCAAGCAGTAACTAAGGTTTTACTCCTTGGGGTACGTTCTGTTACTACAGCTTCCACGGCATTATTATCAAGCAGTGAAAACGGGCACCACGTACGTCACGCGGACCGCAGACACGCCAGTGCCACTAAAGAGCCTGCACAGGTTTTGAGGTACAAGGGTATGTTCTTGCTGTACAAAATAAAAAATAAAAACCACTGAGGGGGCCTCGTACGCCTGATTGTCTCAGCTGCCGGACAAATAATTTAAGATATTTTTATATTCTTACATGGCAAACAGCATCCCTCTAAAAAAAAATAATCTTGACAGGTGATGCCAGTTTAAACGGGATTCTTGGAGGGTAACATCAAAGACAAGGCAACATCTGCTACAGCAACACGAGTCATTTGGCAAACTGGAAGAGGATTAAATGCTGCAAATTAAACGTGTTGCACACACAGGCTCTGCTCCGCAGCGCTCACGTTCCAAAACGGCGGCCATCTGGATCTAGCGGAGCAACCCGTCAGCACAAAATCCACGGGAAAAGCAAAACGCGCTGCTCAAACCGCACCGCCAGGCCGATACATCTGAATTTTTAGGTTACTTCGGTCGGTCAGGACTTCGAAACGGAACGTCGGATTTCTGCGTTTGCCTGGCATGCTCTGCTCGGTTCTACATTCACGTTTATTTGAGTCCTCCCAAGGAAAAATCACAGTTACAGCCTCCAAGGAGAGAGCCTTCATTGAGAATTCTTCATTAACCCAACGCAGGTGGTGTTCTTCTCAGAGGTCACTAATTAAACTACTTCAGGAAAAATGTCTAGTGGGTGTAAGAATAAACCCAGACACAACTCAGTACAGCTCAAACTGTCACACCTTTAAATATTTAATTTGCATTACAACGATTAACATTTCCTATAGAAAGAGCATGACCATTTCACAAACACAAACTAAAATTTGGAGTTTGTTTTATTTTTTTAAATTATAGGTGATTTTGCTCTGGTCCTTGAGCAAACAGCTTCAAGCATCGGAACTGCAGCCCCCACATCGCCCATCTCAAGGGTGAGGTGCATTATTGAGGACTCCAGTTACCTGCAGGTTCTCTCTAATCACTGAACTGTGTTGAATCAAAGGGAGACAGAGGTGAATTTAACAAATAAACCTGTCAAGGTACGCTTATTTCCAGTGGAAAGCAGAAAACTGTGCAATAATCCCTCTAGTAAGAAGTAGCAGATCAGTACCTATATTCCCCTAATTTTCCAGAAAGTGCAAAACTCACACAACAGCTACAGAGTACTTACTTTTTTAGCTCCTATGATAGCATTAAGAAAAAAAAAAGATACAAGTTAGAGAAAGTTTCCAGTTCTAGAGATGCAGCAGCTGGTCAGCAAGGACACCGCATGACAACAGCCACAGGTTATTATCCTATAGTTAACTTCCCCCATACATAATACATTTAATTAAACTTACAGCTAGTTAACTCTCTAGAACTACATTATCTTCGTGAACCAACGCCACGGACACTCTTCATTTAAATTGTTAATTTTAAATAACAAGCAATCAAAAAGCCACATATATCCAAAAGGATCCACCCATCACGACAAGGAACCAGGGAGGCTCCCACCCTGCCAACTGCCAGCTGGTGCAAAAGCGAAGCTCAGGTCCCTCGGTTTCCGGTAACTAAAACACCAACAGCAAATACTTGAAAGAATTCTGAAAACATTAACAATTATAATGTCAAATAGTGAATTCACATGATTGTAGTTATTTCTACCAGAAGTTAGCAATCCGTACAGCATTCTGTGAATGAGTTAGAAATAAAACACTGGCGCCAATACTCAGCCCACTGATTTTTCAGGAAAAGCATCGATACAACATGTGAACGTCTGCAGAAGCACTGAAGACTTTAAAAATTTAACCCATGAGGCTACACTTAAAGCCTGGCAAGACACAGCTCCTCATTTCACCAACATTACATATGAAAAAGGGTATTTCTGCAAGAAAGCAACACAAACCCCCAAGCCAAAGCAACCGCAAAGGTTCCCCCATCAAACCTGGCTCAGAGGAATTCAAATAATATTTTTTTTATGAAAATTATTACCAGGGAAAATATTCATAAAGGGAATTTACCACAACAAGCAGTAACACCATTTTCCAAAGCCAAGTCCAAGGTACTCGCAGCACCGTTTTGTTTCCACGAGGGACCAAACCTTAGGTTCAGTTATGATGAAGACCAGATTTACAATGAAGTTTACGAATAGAAGCAAAAAAAAATTGAAAAAAATAAATGTCATTTCCACTCAGCGTGCCTAAGTTTTCCCCAGAGGAACCTGTGAGAAGTCATCTACAAGGATTTTAATTACCCAAACCATCACCTGAGAGCCGGTGCAGACAGCCTGACAAGAGATGAGCTGCAGACCATTAATACCAGACCAGAGCACTCCCATTTCTCCCAGCAGGCAAATTTACTCCAGTCGAGACACAAGCTCACAATCCTGCTTCAGCCAAGTCTGCTAAATCACAGTACGCCGAGCGAAGGGAGGATACCTGATCTGACAAAGTCTGGAGGGACAAACTTACCTCTTCAAAGGTTCTGGAAGAAATTTAAGCTGCCTTGGACTTCTTGGGAGCCTGCACCGCATTCACACCGCTCGCAGTCTGGACTGGGGCAGCTAACATCGACCACCCCACCAAACCGTAGCCTTGCGTGGCTGTTTCGACGCTTTCCACCTGGTATTCTCAACCACTCGCTTCACCTCCTCAAACAGAACAGTTTTACAACGAAAAGAGCGCGCTACAGTTTGACGAGTGCTCTCCACCGGCAAAAACGAGAGCACAGAAACTAGAGCTGAACTAGAAACCCATCAGTCCGCACACACTCGGCGCCAAGCTGGCAGCTCAGGCAGTCTCTCCCTCAAACCACCCCTGAGACCACATTTATCCACTGCCCAGTAACATTGTTCAGAAATTAAGCAGTTTTTCATTTAACTGGCAGTCTTTTAGCACTAAGATAAAGGAATAGTTTGAAGCAGAGGCAGCAAACTTTAAAGAAGTGTTTAAGAAACAAACCTGTGAGTGGAGTGGAAAAATTTAAGTGCTCTTACTGCACGCACCAGAGACCGGCTCCTGCGTAGCCAGGACAATTTTGCTTTTCCAGTGACAGTGCAAATAACCTATTAAAGGTTTTACAAAGCATCAAGCCACTGGAAAGGCAAATGCTATTATCAATATTTACCGATGCTAAATAATCAAACATTCCCAAGTGACAAAATAAAAAAATAATGACAGATCAATGTTTAGACCTCGCATGGACCATTAAAGAGGGCTTACAAAAACATGAAAGACGACTTTTTAATTATAGCTACTGCTTCAGAGCTTTGGGCTTGGTGCTGTCTCATCACGACGTCCTGGGTATTTCAAGCCAGAACAAATCCATGCTGTACTTCCAGCGCCGCAGGGAAACGCAGCAAGTTAAAAATAGGCAATAAAAAGGTCTCTATTGTTGTACTGTAAATCCAAA